AGAGGAGAGGAGAGGAGAGGAGAGGAGAGGAGAGGAGAGAGGAGAGAGGAGAGAGGAGAGAGGAGAGAGGAGAGAGGAGAGAGGAGAGAGGAGAGAGGGTATTATCTGTGCATCAGTACCCAAATGAAGATGTGGACCAAAGGGCATCAGCTTCCAACAGGCAAAGCCTAAACTCTCTCTGTGCTTCAAATAACATACACACACACACACACATACACACACACATCAAGTCAAATCATCAGAAACACGAGCTGAGCAATAATGACTAGTGACAGAAACAGGAACCAATGAATTACATCCCCCTCTTTGAATTCCCCAGTTAGAATTTAGACACTGTCAAATTAGGGATCATAAATTGTGGTGACAAAGCAATTTTTCTGATTCTTTTAGAGCCCCACAATCACGACAAGAGCAGTCTTTCAGGCAGTGTATTATTAGTCAAGTAGGACGGAGCTACCAACCACCTGCAACTCAATACCCTTGGCAACTGAGTTATTGTCACTTTTGATTCTGGCTGTTAGCAATATCACTGGTTTTATCTCACAAGGAAGACACTTGGTGTGTATTAATAAAGCCATTATAATTAAGATAATCAGTTATTACTTTTGTTTAGAATTAGCTGCAGGAAAACAAAACTTATGGTTGATAGAGATGTCAACTTTCTTAAAATGGTCAAAATTGAGATGCATACCCGGAAGCAGAACCTGAGACATCTGAGAAGAGTGACGTCCTTGCAGGGTTCAGGGCCCTCTAGCTGAACAGGGAGCTTGAAATGCAGTATTATGAATAAGGACTGTATTCATCTTCAGGCATTTATGTCTTTGTGTTTATCTTGGTCTGCTTTTATGACTGATGGTTCTGTCTCCCAGGTACACTTTTGCCTACCGGACTACCTTGTGACCACATTGCTGGTGTTCCCAAAGGAAGAAAACTTCCACTTCTCAAAACACTTGTGCATGGACTCAGGAGAACACTCCTCTCACACCCAAACCTGTCTCAGCAGTCTCTGTTGTGGGATGTCCTCTTGTGGTGACCTCACACATAGCATTAACACCAAGTGGGCAAGATGACCCTTGTTAAGAAAGGCCACACTGTCATCAGCCACAGAGCTGTAGGCAAAGTGAGTTCAAGGAGTTTTCAGGCTGCCAACAAGGACAATATGGATGCTGGGTACTCATACTGAGATATCCAGTAAGATTAATAATAACTGTTTCATTATTGTGTTGGGTTTAAAACTATTCACTCATTTTCTTAATTAATGTTTGGGTTGCACATGTGGAAAACTATAAAAAGAATATGCCCATTATTATTTATTTCAGCCTAGATTTGTTACAATGCATGCAGAATCTGTTCAGAGATGCTACATAATGATACTGATACATTATCCACAGACCCTTATATTCTTGTATTTTACAACCTCCAATTGCATAGAATCACTTATTGCCAAGTGGTCATTTTCTCACATTTATTATGACAACAGGATAAATGCCAGCGTTTGTCAACATCTTGTAAATGATGAGTCTTAATGAGGCAATCTAGTATTTCACCCCTCTGAGGAATCTCATAATAGGATGAGCAAAATATCACGTTAAAGGAAGTGGGAGGTAATCCCAAGGGACAAACCTTTTCTTGTACAATATATTCCTCAAGGTTTTGCTTGGAGTGGGTTCTAGGATGCAGGCCAATTTGGCGTACCCCCCTGTACAACATTTTAATTGTATTTTTATCAAGTCCAGCAGAAATGCAGACCGCATGTTGAATTTGTCAGTAAGCAGTACCCTATGAGAAAATAACAGTCTGAGCTTTGAGAACTTTCACCTAAGACATAAACTTAAAGTTGTTCTTCCTAAGCTGAAGAATACACCTAATGTGCCTGCTTTTGATCTGTCCTGGGTTTTTTTACTTTGATTTTGTAAAATATATTTCAGCCTTTTGTGTTTGCTAATCTATTTCAGGAGGTTTCTCTGAAAAAATGTGAAGCACATTTCATTTTTGGACTGAGTTCTGTTGCTGGATCCTTTTAATGATAAGCCAAAGAGGAAGAGAATTCTTGCATTGTCTGTGAATTTTAATGTGTTGCTTGCGTTTAGTATATATGTATATTACCCTGCATGTCAGAATGCTAAGCCTTAAAAAACTTGAGTAAATAAAGTGTGTGAGAGAGCCCTACAAATGTAATACTTAATTAGAACAAGACAGGTTTTTTAGAAACAAGTACTATCACTTCATCACTCTATAAATGATACTATAGATAATCAAGAGATATTGTGTTTTGATAACAAGAAATATATATGATTTAGGATACAGCTAATTGTCTAGCAGGATTACAGTTCATTAGATATTTCTCTTAGTGTCTTGCAGCTTTTTTATTTATTTGGGTCAAATTGAAAACTCAATGAATGACACAAATTTTATGAATTTGGGCAACTCAAAAATAAGCAAACATATTAAAACAATGTTCTTGTTTTTTTAAAAAAAATTTTCATTGGAAAATGATGACTCAAACAAGTCAACATGTTCGAGTAGAATGTATTGATTTTATTGAAATTTTTCACACAAAGTTACAGAAATGTTTCATTTCATTAAGGTCATGTAACTTCAATACTTGGCACATTATGTAGCAAAATAATAAGGCTAATAATTAAGTGCTCCTGTAAATTTATTTTCATATTTTTTTGAACAGAAGTGTGCGTGCGGGTGTTGAAAAATTTGTTTCTTGAAAAACTCATAAATTTTAATTCTTTGTTCTTATTCTGGCTGAAAAGTAATTTTGAAATTTCAAAATTTCTTCTGGGACAGAAATTTCAGGTGTTACTACATAAATGATGTGAGAGCCATGTTCATTCCCCAAGATATCTTAGCTTCACAGCACCCCTCTCACTCTGTGTTCTTTTTTCCCAGCACATCTCCTTTTTTCCTCATAGTGCCCTCTGCATCTCTCGGGATCAGGCTCTCAATGTCTTGGGGAAGGCAATGTAGTGATATGTTCTGATTTGCACTTTTGCTGTTGATCTGCATACTGGAGACATGGTTTAATTGGATTGGATTGGCCATGGCTGTGCCTTCTCCTGCCAACAGAACTGATGTTGTAGTCTTTTCCTACTAATTGTTTGTATAACAACTGTAAAATATAATGTTAATCAGAACAACTGCAACTGGCTCTGGTTTGTATCTGTTTTGTTTTAATCATCATTTAAGTGTTAACTTACAGTCCAAGAGAGGCAGGGAGACCAGTATTACACTTGTGCATTGCTAACAAGCACCTAGAGCAGTGTACTATTTTGAACCTTATTAACCACTGAATTTTAAGCAGACTAAATTGTCAGCGTTTATATTTGTGGGATACTTCACTGAGATTGTTTATATAAATATAAGTGAGAGGGAAAGACAGAGAATGCATTGTGCAAGGACAGCGAAGGACAGGGAGAGGTCAGTCCAACCATGAACCTAAGTGGAATAGAGTTTTCTAATTTAGACAAATCTTGTGAGGAGACCCAGACTTTGGAACTCTCCTTGTCACAGAACAAATTTGTTGACCTGCAAAAATTATCCACTGAAATTATACTAAGAAAGGGCAGATAAGCCTGGTATATGGTGGGGCTTTTGCAGAGGAATGGTGAGGAGTAGAAACAGTGCTACTGCTGATGCTACAGAAAGCATTCATGAAGCAGTCAAGGACCTAAAATGGCCTTCACAAGAAATAAAATAAACCATTGGTTTCTTCCTTAACTCTGTGGGGTGCAGTGGTGACTACATAGGAAAAGGTCTGTTTCTTGAGACAGAAATCTAAATTTCAGATGACAGTAAAGAGTTCTGGTATGGATGAAAGCACGACACTGCAGGATGTACTACCCAAAGGCAGGCCATACCCTGTTCCCCTAAAAAGAAGTAGCAAGAATTCAGAAGTCATTTAGGAAGGAAGGTGTAGAAGGACTTGGCCTTCTGGCTGTCCTCCTCAATCTGTTCCACAAGGAAAAAAGACAAAATATTTTTGGAAGGGGACCAGTATTAACTATGAGTAACAGGCCACCCAACATTCCTAGCACCCACACTTTCTCTTGCTCAGATATCACTAAACCTTCTTTAATTCCATAATTGCAATGCATATCCACCCATAAATGCTTATGCATTTATTGTAACAAAGATTTGGGGGAGCGGATAATAGCAGCTGAGATTTCAACTGATCTTATCATAACTATTACTTTCACTTTAGTAAAAGAAAATAAAAAATAAATATCTAGTCATTCTTACATGGTATCATACGATATTTTCTTTATTTAAACTAAGGCAGGATGGAGAATGAAAAGACAGTCTCCAGATTATAGCAGACTAAAACCACTTATCTTTATTTCTGTAAATATCACTTATTTCCTAATATTTCTGAGATTTATTTTTTCTCCTTTTTCCTTCCCTTTTGTTTCTTCTGTTGCATTAGTGTAGGTTGCAAATGAAACAATTCTTAAACATACCTTTAAGGAAACTCTTCATTTTATATAATGAACATTCTCCTGAACTGCCAATATGTAAATTGTCGACTGACTAGGGAGCAATTACTTGCAAATAGCACTGTGTTGTGCT